GAGGAGGAGGAGGAGGAGGAGGAGGAGGAGGAGGAGGAGGAGGACAAAGAGGATGATGAGGAAGAAGAGGAAGAGGGCCCGACGATGGAGGAGGAGGCCACGGCGATGGAGGAGAGGAAGAAGAAGAAGAGGAGGAGGAGGAGAAGGAGGAGGTGGAGGTGGAGAAGGAGGACGACGACAACGAGGAGGAGGAGGAGGAGGAGGAGGAGGAGGAAGATGAAAAGGAGGAGAGGAGAAGCGGAAGGAGGAAGATAGGAGAAGCGGAAGGAGGAAGAAAGGAGAAGCGGAAGGAGGAGGAGGGGAGGGGGAGGAGGAGGAGGAGGTGGACAAAGGGAAGGTGGCTCACCTGATGTGGGCGGGCGATGGCGCGTGGGGTTGTGCTCGTGGACCTCGGAGTTCGGCAATGGCAACACCGAACTCCGGCGACAGCACGCGGGCCGAGACGCGCGGGGGAGAGCACCACTGCCCCCATTTCGAATTTGAAAATAGCCCAATCTGGGTAGTCGATCGCGCAGATCTGATGGCCCAGATTAGGCTTTTTTTTTCGCCTTTGGAGGCCCTACCGGCCTCCAACAATTCTTCCCGTCAGCACCCCGGGTTTGCCTGTCCCCTCAGTCCACCCCTGCGCCGCCGAAGTCCGTGTCCTACCCCCCCCCCAATTTTTTTTTTCAATCGGACGTAGGCCCCCCAGCGGACGGGCGACCGGTTGTCCGATCGGACAATCCCGGACGGTCAGGGGGGTCCCGGACGTCCGATCAGGTAACATAGCTAAAAATATATTTTCATTTTTTTTTTTTTTTGTTGATTTTTTTTGAAAATGTGGTTGTGAGTTTGGACATGGTTCTCGGCCAAAAGTTGTTTGTTTTGCAATGTTTTACAACTTTTTTTTTTTTTTTGATTTTTTTTTGAAAAATTGAAATTGGCAAAAATTCGAATATGAAACGGTTTTCACCTTCGTGGTAGCAGATGCATATCCCAGGGCTCAATCCCTAGACCTGCCCTGAACCTGTGTACAGTACAGTTTGCCCCATCAATGTTTGAACCCGTGACCTGCCCCTAAAGTTGTCTGTCTAAGGCTGTTGTAGAAACGAGGGTTGAGTAGGTTTGAGCTGCTTACCTGTAGAGTAGGATCTGTAGCTTATGTCTGGTTGTAGCTGCTGTAGATCTGAAGGGTCAACCTTAGTCATAGCTGGTACAGTACGGAAAAGGCAAGTAGGAAGGGCTAGAGTCTTCTAGGACTGCCCCTTCAAGAGTCTCAGAAGCACTCGTAGACAGACTTACCAGGTCTACTCAGCGGTACCCAGTCCCAGTCGCACCTTGTCCAGTCAGCAAGTACCATGTGGGACTGAGTGCATCCTAGGCCCGAAGGAAAGGAGCAGACCAGCGACCAACTGAAGTATAAATCAAGAAGCAGTGTCCAGTTATTCATTCATTCAGACTGTGAGCCGTGCGGAAGCGCTGCCTGAGCGACTTGTGCAAGGAGGTCTGCGAGTGCCCGAGGAAGAAGTGGGCTGGAAGGGAGACGAAGCGGCCATAGCCGCTAGTTAGTGGTAGAGGTAGCAAGCAGCCATAGCTGCGCTAGGGTAGAGAGGCTACAGCGTGTTTGCATATGAGTGTGCGGTGAGTTGTGAGCGTGTGTGGGACATCCAGGGAGATCCAGAGTAGCGTATGTGTGAACTGTTGATGAGGATACAGATTGGAAGGGTGTTGTGAGGGCGCACAGGCGCCAAGGCCATTCAAAGCAATTTGAATCTGAACTGTGTTCTTGGCCACGATATCTCCAAGCTTTGTGTGGGCGCTTGTCGCCAGTGTGATTGCTATCTGTTTCATGCATGCTGAGGAAGAAAGAAGACGGGTCTGATTGCATTGGTATCACAGCTGGTTCCCGCTGTTCCACCCGCCATCGTCGTCATCAAGAGGAAGGAGCCGCCATAGCTGCGCCGCTGCAGTAATAGGCCGCGTACCTGCACAGACAATGACGACGCGCGCGCGCGCGAGAGAGAGAGAGAGAGAGAGAGAGAGAGAGAGAGAGAGAGAGAGAGAGAGAGAGAGAGGAG